GGATGAGGGGGAGGAGGAGTAGGAGGAGGAAGAGAACGATGCGGGGAAGGGGCAGGAGGATGATGATGATGAGGAGGGGGGAGGACAATAACGATGAGGGGGAGGAGGAGGAGGGGGAGGAGGAGATGGAGGAGGAGGAGGAGGTGGAGGAGGAGGGGAGAAGGACATGAGAAGGATGAGGATGATGAGGATGATGATGAGGTTGAGGATGATGATAAGGATGATGATGATGCTGATGATGCTGATGATGATGATGATGATGATGCTGCTGATGCTGATGCTGATGATGATGATGAGGAGGAGGAGGCGGAGGAGGATATGGAGGAGGAGGAGGAGGAGGGGGAGGAGGAGGAGGAGGAGGAGTATGAGGACGAAAGGAGGAGGGGGCGGAGGAGGATGAGGAGGAGGATGAGAAGAGGGAGCAGGGTGAGGAGGCGGAAGAGCAGGAGGAGGTGGAAGAGGTGGATGATGATGAGGAATGGAAGGAGGAGGATGAGGAAGAGGAGGAGGAGGATGAGGCCGATGAGGACAGAGAGGAGGATGAGGAGGAGGATGAGGAGGGGGAGGAGGAGGATGGGACGAACCAGGAAGAGGAGGAGGAGGGAGAGGATGATGATGACGATGCTGCTGATGCTGATGATGCTGATGGTGATGATGATGATGCTGATGATGATGCTGATGATGATGATGATGATGATGATGCTGATGATGCTGCTGATTATGTGGAGGACTACGTGGGCGGAAGATGAGGAGGAAGGGGATGACGAGCTGGAGGAGGAGGAATCTGATGAGGACCACGATGATGATGCTGTTTCTGACGACGCTTGCGATTCTGATGGTGGTGATGATGAAGCTGGTGATGCAGCTGATGATGATGATGAAGCTGGTGGTGGTGGAGGTGATGCAGCTGGTGGTGATGATGAAGCTTGTGATGACGCTGCTGATGATGATGATGAAGCTGGTGATGCTGATTATGATGCTGGTGATGATGATGAAGATGATGGTGATGATGCTGCTGATGCTGCTGATGCTGGTGCTGATGATGACGATTAGGATACTGATGATGCTGATGCTGATGACTGTGATGATGACGGTGATGATGCCGTTGCCGATGCCGATGATGATGATGGTGATGATGTTGGTGATGATACCGACGATGCTGATGATGCTGACGCTGCTGATGCTCATGATGATGCCGATGACGATGATGCTGGTACTGATGCTGTGTATGATGATGACGATGCCGACGACGATGACGACGTCGATGGTGCTGATGATGCTGATGCTGCTGATGCTGATTCTGACGATGATGCTGCTGCTGCTGATGATGATGATGCCGTTGCTGACGACGCTGGCGATGATGATGACGATGCTGAGATTGCTGCTGCTGGTGAGGATGATGCTCATGCTGGTGATGATGATGATGATGATGATGATGATGATGATGATGATGATGATGTTGCTGATGATGATGATGACGATGATGCTGATGATGATGATGCTGATTATGATAATGTTGGTTATGGTGATGATGGTGATTATGCTGGTGATGGTGGTGTTGCTGCTGTTGATGATGCTGCTGCTGATGATGAGGATACTGATGCTGCTCTGTTGAAGCTGATGGTACGGTTGATGCTGCCGACGACGACTTTGATGACGAGGAGTAGGATGAGGAGGATGAAGATGCTGAGGATGAGGATGATGATGATGAGGATGCGGATGCTGATGCTGCTGGAGATGATATAATGGTGATGGTGTTGGTGGTGATGATGTTGATGCTGCTGCTGCTGTTGACGATGCTGCTGCTGCTGCTGCTGCTGATGATGATGATGATGATGATGATGATGATGATGATGATGATGGTGATGCTGATGATGATGTTGATTATGATGATGTTGATGCTGCTGCTGATGATGTTGCTTCTGCTGCTGCTGCTGCTGCTGATGATGATGATGATGATGATGATGATGATGATGATGATGATGATGATGATGATGATGATGATGATGATGATTATTAGTATGATGATGGCGAGCGAACGGACCTGAGCGGGACCTCGCCGTCCCTGGGGGGCTGAGACCTGCGACACTGTCGCCACATTCGAGGGCTGCTGGTGGGTCCTGCGGAGTGAGGTATTGCGCGGACCTGAGCGGGACCTCGCTGTTTTTGGGGGGGCTGCAATTTGCGAAACTGTCGTTATTTTTGAGGGCTGCTGGCGGGTCCTGCGGAGTGAGGCACCGCGCGGGCCTGAGCGGGACCTCGCCGTCCCTGGGGGGCTGCGATCTGCGAAACCGTCGCCGCTTTCGAGGGCTGCTGGTGGGTCCTGCGGAGTGAGGCACCGCGCGGATCTCAGCGGGACCTCGCCGTCCCTGGGGGGTTGCGATCTGCGAAATTGTCGCCACTTTCGAGGGCTGCTGGTGGGTCCTGCGGGGTGAAGCACCGCGCCGGCCTGAGCGGGACCTCGCCGTCCCTGGGGGGCTGCGATCTGCGAAATTGTCGCCACTTTCGGGGGCTGCTGGTGGGTCCTGCGGGGTGAGGCACCGCGCGGACCTGAGCGGGACCTCGCCGTCCCCGGGGGGGCTGCAATCTGCGAAACTGTCGCCACTTTCGAGGGCTGCTGGCGGGTCCTGCGGGGTGAGGCACCGCGCGGGCCTGAGCGGGACCTCGCCGTCCCTTGGGGCCTGCGATCTGCGAAACCGTCGCCGCTTTCGAGGGCTGCTGCTGGGTCCTGCGGGGTGAGGCACCGCGCGGACCTGACCGGGACCTCGCCGTCCTTGGGGGGCTGCGATCTGCGAAATTGTCGCCACTTTCGAGGGCTGCTGGTGGGTCCTGCGGAGTGAGGCACCGCGCGGATCTCAGCGGGACCTCGCCGTCCCTGGGGGGCTGCGATCTGCGAAACTGTCGCCACTTTCGGGGGCTGCTGGTGTGTCCTGCGGGGTGAGGCACCGCGCGGACCTGAGCGGGACCTCGCCGTCCCTGGGGGGCTGCGATCTGCGACACTGTCGCCACATTCGAGGGCTGCTGGTGGGTCCTGCGGAGTGAGGCACCGCGCGGACCTGAGCAGGACCTCGCCGTCCCTCGGGGGGCTGCGATCTGCGAAATTGTCGCCACTTTCGAGGGCTGCTGGTGGGTCCTGCGGGGTAAGGCGCCGCGCGGATATGAGTGGGACCTCGCCGTCCCTGGGGGGCTGCGATCTGCGAAACCGTCGCCACTTTCGAGGGCTGCTGGTGGGTCCTGCGGAGTGAGGCACCGCGCGGATCTCAGCGGGACCTCGCCGTCCTTGGGGGGCTGCGATCTGCGAAGTTGTCGCCACTTTCGAGGGCTGCTGGTCGGTCCTGCGGAGTGAGGCACCGTGCGGATCTGAGCGGGACATCGCCGTCCCTGGGGGGCTGCGATCTGCGAAATTGTCGCCACTTTCGAGGGCTGCTGGTGGGTCCAGCGGAGCGAGGCACCAGACAGATCTGAGCGGGACATCGCAATCCCTGGGGGGCTGCGAGCCTCACGAATGCTGCTCGCAGAAGTATATGCGCCCATGCCACGTCATCACCTCCGTATAACGTCTCCCAAGCTCTTCATGGCCCGCATTGCGCGGGGGTTGGGTACGTCGCCAGGGTTAATTATTAGGATGATGGGGAGGAGGAGGAGTAGGAGGAGGAGGAGGAGGAGGAGGAGGAGGAGGAGGAGGAGGAGGAGGAGGAGGAGGAAAGGGGGGGAGGAGGATGAGGAGGAGGGGGAGGAGGAAAAGGAGGAGGAGGAGGAGGAGGAGGATGCTGATGATGATCGTGATGGTACTGATCATGTTATTGACGCTAGTGTTGTTGGTGTTGGTGATGATTGCGATGGTGATGCTGATGGTGGTGATGTTGCTGCTGATGATGGTGATGATGATGATGCTGAAGATGCTGCTGCTGCTGCTGCTGATGATGGTGCTGATGATGATGATGATGATGAGGAGGAGGAGGAGGAGGCGGGGGATGGGAGGGGGTGGAGGAGGAGGAGCAGGAGGAGAAGGAGGATGAGCAGGAGGAAGAGCAGGAGGAGGAGGAGCAGGAGGATGAGGGGGAGGAGGAGGAACAAGAAGAAGACACCCAGTAAAATGAATCTACATTATATTACTTGTAGTAATACTAGTACGATTAATATTAATACTCGTACTTACAGTACTAGTACTACTAATACTAATGCTAATACCCGTACTAATACGATTACTAATTCTAATACTGATACTAATACTCATCGTATTACTACTATTTCGAATACTATTAATATTAATAATGGTATTCACATTAGTAGTGCTATTACTGTCGATAACACTACTGAAATTAATATTAATAAGGCTGATACTGATACGGCTAATAATAGCATCAACGATCGCACTGCTAATAAACATCATAATGGTACTACTCTTAACAAGAAACGTAATCCTACTACGAGGAATAAGTGGAGGAGGGGGAGGAGAAGGATGAGGAGGAGAGGAGGAGGAGGAGGAAGAGGAGGAGGAGGAGGAGGACGAGGAGGAGGAGGAGGAGGGAGGGAGGAGGAGGAGCAGGAGCAGGAGCAGCAGGAGCAGGAGCAGGAGGGAGGAGGAGGAGGAGGAGGAGGAGGAGGAGGAGGAGGAGGAGGAGGAGGAGGAGGAGGAGGGAGGAGGAGGAGGAGGAGGAGGAGGAGGAGGAGGAGGGGAGGAGGAGGAGGGAGGGAGGGAGGGAGGGGAGGGAGGGGAGGAGGGAGGGAGGGAGGGAGGGAGGGAGGGGAGGGAGGGAGGGAGGGAGGGAGGGAGGGAGGGAGGGAGGGAGGGGGAGGGAGGGAGGGGGGAGGGAGGGAGGGAGGGAGGGAGGGAGGGAGGGAGGGAGGGAGGGAGGGGGGAGGGAGGGAGGGAGGGAGGGAAGGGAGGGAGGGAGGGAGGGAGGGAGGGAGGGAGGGAGGAGGAGGAGGAGGGAGGAGGCGCGAGCAGACGCCTGCCGAGTGCCGAGTGCCCGACCCCCCTCCCCCTGCGGCGGCAG